GTCCTTTTAAAAATTTACTGATTTGAGAAAGGGGGGCGGGGAGTGTGGAAAGAAAAAGAGACATGAATTTGTTGTTCCACTTACTGATGCGTTCATTGGTTGATTCTTGTATGTGTCCTGACCAGGAATCGAACCCACAACCTTGGCATATTGGGACAATGCTTTAACCAACTGAGCTACCTGGCCAGGGCGGTACTTTTCAGTTCTTTATCTCTTCAACCTTCTCCTAGACATGTCCTAACACACATATGTGGTTATGTAACCAGCCTTCAGCCTTCAATCGGCTGCCTTGTAACACAGTTAAAATGACTTTTTATGGCACCGAAGGCCCTTGTGGTCTGGCTCTTGTCTCCCTCCCTCACCTTAGCACACTGGGCCGCTTCACTCCCCAGCCGTGCTCTCGTCCATCTCTGCGTAGGAAGCTCGGGCAGCTTCTTCTGTGTGGGTGGTCTTCGCTCGTGACTCCACCCAATATTCTGATTCATCTTTCACTCTATAGCTCCAGCCTCTCATTTCCCAGAAAACTCGCCTGGGTTCTGCCTGCCTGGGTGAAGTGCCCATCCTCTCTTCTTGAACATACATACATACAGCGTACTTGTCCCCGTGCCAAGTTTATTACAGTCAGTGCATTACATTTCTTTCCTCACCCACATTCCCGCCCTGGACAGTAAATGCCCAGGTGAGGGCAGGGCCTGCCAACCCCTTAACCTATTACATAACTTGGATTTAGTAAAGAGTTGTTAAAAATGAATAGATGAACGGCCTATAGTTGTTTTCTGTTTTTTCCTTGCTTCACTTTACACTGAACTCTGCATGTATCTTCTAGGAAACAGTCTCTAATAACTTCTCTAGTGTTAATGTTTTATGATTCTTTCTACGATGCAATCAGCAATGCATATTCTTTTTATAGTTGTGCTTCCTAACCCAGGGGTTTAACAGTGAGCAACATAAGGGAAGGAAGTAACACGTGCTGAGTGCTCATGATGGGAGAGGGACCATCCAGGCACTTAACATACGTTAGATCTCATATAATCCTCGGTGGGGTGGGCACTATCGTACCAATTCCACACATGATGGAAACAGAGTCTCAGGCAGATGCACGCCACAAAACTACCAGACATCAGGGCCAGGAGTCAAACCCACAGTTACTGGCTGGTGTGTCTGTTTGCGTGCTTACTCTGTTGCATCACAGGGCACTGTTCCATGGGATTCAGCACTGTGGCATGGCCTGGCTGTAATAAAAGATTACCATATTTGTTTTAGTAAGATTCAGAAAGATGTGTAAATTATATACATTTATATAAGTAGTACTAAGTAATAAAGTGATATATTCTTTGAAGAACATCAAGTACCTACCTTACTTAGAGGATAATAGGCCACCTTTCTAGAATGCATGCTGAATCTAATATATAATATATTTATATAGTATGTAATATAAAAATAAATTAGGATGTGAAGAATGGAAAATGCTGCAAAGTTATTCTGCTGATGATATTAACTAATTGGGGATGTGGGGGGAAAAGTCAAAGAAACTTAAAACAAAAGTTTTAAAAAGTCTTTAGCAAATGTTAATCATGAAAAATAAATACTAAAAACTTCTTTGTTAGGGCAGTTACTCAAAAAGTTAAACATAAAAGTACGATATAATGTAGCAATTCCACTTTGGAGTATATATCCAAAAGAACTGAAAATAGGACTTAAACATACATGTATACACCAATGTTTATAGCAGCATTACCCACAAAGGCCTGAAGGTGGAAACAATGCTTCGTTCATCCATGGACAGATGAAGGGCTAAACAAAATGTGGGGTCCATGTACAATGGGCTATTATTCAGCCTCAAAAAAAGGAAATTCTGACACATGCTGCAGTATGGATGAATCATGAGGACATTACACCAAAATGAAATAAGCCAAGTCACAAAGGTACAGGTACTTATGATTCCATTGCTAAGAGGTACCTAGTGCAGTCAAATTCCTAGACAGAGCAGAGCAGAATGATGATTAGCAGGGGCTGAGGGCAGGCAGGATATGAAGTGGCTGTTTAAAGCAAAGAAGAGTTTCAGCCTGGGAAGATGAAGTTCTTCTGGAGATGAATGGCAGTAATAGTTGTGCAACAATGTGAGGCTACTTAATGCCACTGAACCACCCACCATATATTAAAAAAGGGATAAAATGGTAAATTATGTGTTGTATTTATTTACCACAATAAAAACATTATTTGAAGTCATAATATGTTAGCTTAAGTGAAAGAAAAATACAGTTTACAAATACCTTCAACTATATATCTAATGTCTAAATGGAGTATGTCCAATCTCAAATATTCTACAAGGTTAATTTAACAAATATTTATTGTTCCATTGTCTGGCCACATGCCCTAAATTTGGATACAGAAAATATGATAATCAAAGATGTATGAAAGTCTTCTAGATGTCCACTGTCCAATATGGTAGCCACTAGCTATATGTATCTATTTTAATTTAAATTAACTAAAATCAAACATTCAGCCCTGGCTGGCGTAGCTCAGTGGATTGAGCGCGGGCTGCGAACCAAAGTGTCGCAGGTTCGATTCCCAGTCAGAGTACATGCCTGGGTTGCAGGCCATGACACCCAGCAACTGCACATTGATGTTCCCCTCTCTCTTTCTCCCTCCCTTCCCTCTCAAAAATAAATAAATAAATAAATCTTTTAAAATCAAACATTCAGTTCCTCAGTCACACTAGTTGCTCAAACGCAGAATTTCCACATGACTAGCGGCTACCATATTGGACAGTGCAGATATAACGAACATTTCCATCACTGTAGAAAGTTCCATAGAGCCATGCTCTTTTAGATTATACTGTAAGTAGTATATGGCGAATTCCTTTGGTAAATCATTGGTATGTGTGAGGAATGAGGAAGAAGATGGGCAATCCAAAATAAAAACAAAGATCCAATAATGTAGGTTGTTCTATAGAGGAGCCAACCACCTAGTTCAATGGTTTACTTTGTAACTAGTGGCATTACACAGATATAGGCATAGAGCCATCTTTTACCACGCAAATGTTACACAAACTTTAATGAAGTGAAGGAGACAGCTGTATTACCTTGAATACACCAACAGGAAAGTCTTTAAAAAAAAAAAAAAAAGAGGGTCCTACCCTGGCTGGTGTGGCCCAGTGGATTGAGAGGCTGCCTGTGAAGCAAGGGTTGCTGGTACAATCCTCAGTCAGGGCACATGCCTGGGTTGCAGGCCAGGTCCCCAGTAGGAGGCGTGCAAGAGGCAACCACACATTGATGTTTCTCTCCCTCTCTCTCTCTCCCTCCCTTCCCCTCTAAAAATAAATAAATAAAATCCTAAAAAAAAAAAAAAAAAATCCCATTTTGGGAGAAATAGTGTTAAGTACCTTTTCAAAGCAATTCTATAGAATATTATGGAATTTCAAAATTAAAACTATACAGATTATAGATGAACATAATATATGCCAGCATGTTAAGTAAAACAGGAGATTAAAAAATCTGACATGTATGATTGCAGTTATGTAGAGATATGAGTAATTACTGTAATGCAGTGATTTTCAACCAGAGTCCCCAAGAGTTTTTAAAATATGCAATGCCTGATTACTTAGTCAGGGGCACTGACCCCTTTTCCCTTAGATTGTCAAACTTCAAATTAAAAAAAAAAAGACAAGAGCCAACACAACAATGGCTGTATGGTGTGAATGAATTAAAATTATACCAATTTTTTGTCATATTGGCAGAAAAATATATTTTGAATATATTTTTGAATGAATTAAAATAAAATTCTTCTGAAGAATTTTAGTAATTAAATAATTAGTTTATATGTGCCATGAAATGAAAGAGGTTAAAAATCACTGATATAAGGGACTATGAAAAATAAAAAATGTGGTATATTTGATGAAGAATTATAGACATTTATAGAACAAAGTAGCACTATTCAAATATTGCTAACACAATACTTAATCTAGCAAATAAATTAGGTGATAATACATACTGGCAAATACAGTTAACTCTGTGTTATATACACATTACATACTTATTATATACAGTCAGCATGACCAGGTCATACATCGAATTATAAGGGAATGTATCAAGTACTGGTGAAAAATGACAAGCCTTACTTATTACAAGAAATGTACCCTCTAAAGTGATGTGCACCTTTCCCTATGAATCAAAGCCCTGGTCTCTTAAATATAGTCCATAAACACTGTATAGATATTTAAAGTGATATCTGTTCACTTGTAAAATCTTTTCACATGACGTATGTTACAACCTGGAAGATATATATATGGATAAAAATAGTAAAAAGAAAAGCAAGACTATATACAGACTTTTTGGTGAATCCTGTATTTCTCAACACCAAGTTTGACAATGTAAAAAAGTTTTAGACTTCATCCTATTAACTTCTATATAGTTACACATGTACTTTCATGTATTATATGAGAGGTATATAAATATGTGTTATCACATTTAAATAGGCTTATGCTTACAATCTTATTTAATAAATTATTTTCCTAATACTTTAAATTAGTAAGTAGCCTTCAAAGTTATAAAAACTATAAGTTGATTACTTATCCCTTAACCGGTTCAAACTAGAAGAGATTAGCCAAAGAACATATATGCTTACATGCATGGCCCATGCACAACAATGTGAGGAAGGCCATGGTGGGCGGGGGGGGGGCGGGGGGTGGAGTTTGGGGGATAAGGAAGGTAAAATGGGGGACATCTGTAATAGTGCCAACAACAACAGCAAAATGAATAAATAAAGTGACTGGAAGACAAAGGAAACAAAAGCTCTCATTTTATATTGAGTCAAACATTTTGTTGGAGGAAAGTCCTGGGTTCAAGGCCCAACCAAGTCGCTAACTGCAAGGCTATCCTGCTTAAGTCACTGCAGCCGTCTGGTTCCAGCTTCATCATTAGTAAAAGGTAAGCCAGAGGAAGGTAGTACCTAGTCCGTTGTAGTCGAAAGATACCTGCTAGCCCAGTCGGATGACTTACCTCTCTCAATACAGGATCCGTTATTGAATTCAGATTGACAGCACCTTCATAGGTCAGGTGATAGAACACATTGAGGGATCGCACAGCCTCTGGTCCTTGCTGTTTGTAGCCAAAAATAAGATCAATCCACTGGTGAAGCTGGCAGGAAACAAATTCACTCTCCAGGGCCTGAAAAAAGGGCACAGATCATAATATTACACTGAATTCTATTTTAAAAATGTGTAGAGACATTTAGAACAAGCAGTCAAGTTTAATGTTAAATTTACTGTTAACAGACTTATTCTGATGTGGTTTTTCCCACCAGAATCTGTTCTCTTTTTTCTAATAACTAGAGTCTTTCCAGTACACTCACGCTGGAACTGTAACAGAGGGTTACGGTTACGACGTCAGCATTACTCTACCTTCTGCGAGCGAGCACAGGGCTGGTTCTCTGGGTCCCACCAGTAGCTCAGGGCCTGGCAGGCACTCGATTTACACTCCGAAGAAAGGTCAGACAATGTAAACACTTCTTTGGGACAGCAAATGTGAAAACATCACATGCTTACTATCCGCTTAAGATGCTTATGATTTTTCTAAATATAAACATTTTGTTGTTTACTGCAACAATGGTAACCAAATCATTTATTATTTCAACTGAGTTTTTATGCCAACAAGTTAGACCTTGGGAGGGATACTTATAATTACTGAATTATTATTCTAGGTACTAATATTAAATTACTCCAAATTATCTGATGTTATTAACAGAACAGTGTCCAATAAATAATAAATGAACGTAAGTATTCAGTGGAAATGCTGGGCCCAGGATCCACTTCCAGTTCATCACTGCACAGCAGTTACTAGCACTGCGCTCGGAACATGACAGGTACCAACGTTCGCTGAATCTAATAAAGTTAGAAATGTTCAAGAGTTTTAAGAAAACTGGGGACTCATTTTTCAGATGAGTATTCATATTTATATGATTTATTATTCTTCAAAATTATTCCAACATGAAAGTTTGATATTATGGACTACTTTATCTCTGATGCAAATCAGACGTCTCTCAAACTCTAATTCTGAGGAGTAATTTGAAGTTATATTTAGGTAATGCATCTCACTAAAATTCTTACTTTTAGGTGAACAAGTGTATGGTTGTGTCATGTTTGGTGTGACTTGCTATGTTATCAGTAACATAAAAAAGAAATCTGTTGGTTTTAAAACAAAATTGACTAACTTCTATAGCAAGCTATCACCAGTAAGACATAAACCATCTCCTGAACAAAGAAGTTCCTATTAGTTCACAAGGGTACACTTCTGTACATATATGCTTTATTAAAATAAATGCCTATGAATGAGAAAGATGTTTCTGGATGAATTCAAATGTATTTCTTTTAACTAATAACATTTAACATGGCTCCATGGTATATGATGTACTTTAAAATATTTTTAAAAATTTTGTAAATAAAACTCTAGGCAATTCTCATATTCCAAAGTATACCACAATGAAATATAACTAAAAAATAGTTCGTTTCAATTGTGAATGTTACTATTTTGGATTTCCTATAAAACTCATACTTACAAATTTAGTAAACAGCTAAGAGAGCACAAAACTGCTTCATATTTTATTTGAATAAGAAGAGAATGGCTTATGATAACTTTAAATAAATTCCTATTTAAAGTACATGGATTTAAAATCAATAAAAAAAATCCAGGAACTATTAATGCAAGTTGCACCCCAAAACGATACGCTTGTTTCATTAACTTAGGCCTTGGGTAGAAATGCGGAGGGGGGGGCTTGTTTAAAGTGACACATAAAAACAGCAATTGTCTTAATTTGTGTGCAGTGCACTCCACACAAAAGCCCTAAATATGTTCAAATTAGAGCAAGCTGCTTGATTGTCACTGCAGTCTCATGTCACATTAATGCATGACAAACATTAAACCATACACTTAAATGGCAATTTATATCATTTAAATGTTTACTGCCAGACTAGCTCATCACTCATTTAAATGTGACTTTCTGACAGCTAATTTCAGTTAATTTTCTCCAATTCACTTAATTAGAACTTTCAATCAGGGAAGAACCTATACATATCCTCAAGCTTACATCCTTTTTAGTTGTTCAAAATCTGAGTCAATAAACTGCTGAAAAACTCTATCTCTGAATCTACAAAAAAAGTGCAACCATAAAAAGCAAACTCACAGTATGTCCTCTCAGGAAGAACCTTCGTTTATTTAAGTAAATAATACTCCAGCCAGTATTTTAAATAAAAAACGTTTAGCTCATATACACACACTACTGAAACTATAAAAACCCTACACCCAAGCTAATTAAAAATTAATGATTTCAAAATTGTTTAATAAGATAAAACAGTCAGGAGTCTCCTGAGGACCCGTGGTGTTGTGATTTGAGACTATAAAATTCTAGAAGGCTCAGCTAATGACATAGTACAAATGAATTTTCTCAATATTAAAGCCCTAAAAACTAGGGTGATTTTATTTTAAGTGCCATCAGACAAAGAACTGTGAGTTTTACTAATGTTGATTACTTCTTTAGGCACGTTGAAAATGGGGCAGTTGGTTAGATGGAGATGTGGAGACCTTTACATCTTGACGCCCATCATCATGTTAAACCACAAACGCTGAACTCAAAGACTGTGTGCTCACAGGACGCCCCGAACACACATGCAGAGATGGCGACCAGTGTCGTGGGTCAGCCCCCCCTCCCCCTGTCATGCTGGTCAGTCCCCAAGGGGTTGACAGTTATCATGGAATTATTGGCAACATCTTTTCCAGAGGTTGATAAACATGTTACTTTCATGAATAAATTTAAAAAAAAATTAAAATGAAAATATCATGAGCAGTTTTCAAGCATTTTTTGCAATACACTAAAGCTTTAAAAAAGAACAACTGCTAAGGATATGAGAGAATTCCAAAAAGTTTTAGTACATTTCAGTACAAAGTCAGTTTAGGATTTTAACCTTCTTGTCATATCAGTGAATGACAACTGCCTAACCAAAAACATTTAACAATAAACCAACGTACTCACTAAGGACTGGAGGGTAGAGGTAAAGACAAAGATTAAAAAATTACTGAAGAAAACAAAACCCAAATAATTCAAAATAGAGTACCCTAGCATTATATTTTATAACTTTTGTTTTTCAGATTCAAAAAACACAATATAAATCATAAAACATATTAAAAATTCTTTAAATTCCTCTTTATATGTTAAGATTTTAAAAAACACTCTGTTTATAAACTACTTATTCATATCCACATTTTTAGCCACAAATAAATGCATGCCAGTGGCACGCTAAGCATCTGAGATTTTTCAGAAGCTTTCGGACAGACAGTCCTCATTAAGACTGGAGTTAAATACGGTTTGCAGCTAGGGGATAGTAACAGGCTTCCCATGCTGCTCCCAAACTAACCAATCAACCCTTAGTACTCCCCTAGCGGGCTGAATACATCATTTACATCCAATGTGTGTTTTGAGTAAAATTTGTAAAGAAGAAAATCCACTGAAATGTCCAACACAATACAATAATATGCAACTCATCTGAGTTATTATAAAATAAATCAGTGACTAATGTCCAATTGTTAAGGATCAAATAAGACTATGAAAAGACTATCACACGAAGCCTCACACAAATTGTCAGAGCAACCCAGGGGGACTCATATTAGTCTTGACAAACTGTCTGGGGGCTGATATCTGGTTTTTAATGAGATCTATTAAACAGAGACCAGAACACTGGAGATAGGCTAAAAAGTACAGTATACAGATGTCAAATACAAACACTTATTAGTAACTTTCATTTGTTTGAAACATCAGCAAATTAAACCTTTAACATTATAAAGATAATAGTAAATTATTCATAAATTAACACATTCGTAAGACCCTGTGTCAGAAATAATTATAACATATATGAATCTGTCTAACAATAAATCTCATTGAAAGAATATAATCTATGTTTTTGTGAAACTAAACCATTAAGGAAATGAATTATTTATTGATAAAAATGTTGTATAAAATTACTTGTGTTTCCTACAGTGGAGCCAAATAATATAATAACTGATGTAGAAATAGTTTCCTTTTTATAAGAAATTCTAAGCTATTTGAGAATAAAAATTCAAAAATAAAAGGCATTAACTATGTGTTTAATCTAATGCATGGTTTAGAGATACACTAACAATTTCCTTACATTTTCAAATAATCAAATTTTCTCTAATGTAAAATTACGTAAAATCAAGATTACCAATTTCAATTATGGTAATTGTTTACCTTGAGACCACGAAACCTTACTTGTATATTATTTGTGCTTCTCATACTTGTAATTAATTCCAAGATTAATGCTAATGTTTATTTAAACTTTGCTTTCATACCACATCATTTAAAAAAAAACAACTAAATAAAAGCTACTGACATCTAAAGGATAACTGATCTTCATTAAAAAATCAAATAAAAAGAACAAATGTTATCTATAAACTTTATATGCAGAAATAATCGTGTAACCAGAAGGAAAGAGGTCCGTCCAGCCAGCCCAGACGCACAATTCTGCATACCTATCCCCACCACTGCACTCCCGAGCTCCCAGAGCGCCCTTTCCGGCTCCGAGACACACAGTGATGGATCTGTAAGTTTCAGATAAAATAAAAACCTCTGACTAACCCTCTTGACGTGATATGCATTTGATCATAAGATGCATTTAATCATATTTTCTATGGAAGAAAAAAAACAAGAATTTGTTTCATATATTTTTAATTGTATTTATAATTAAGAGTCTTAATTCATCTGAATGTAGATAGTAATATGTTTCAAAGGAGTTAATGTTTGGATTGGCAAGAATGTAATATACAACATTATGGAGTCGGAATTTTAAGTATTTTTCATTTCAAATACATGTAATACAGCCTTCTACACACACATACACACACACATTTAAAATGAACTGGTCTGTTATGTTTGCATGTGCTGGATTTCAAACACTAGTGGTAATGTTTCCTTAACATTGATATATGACCTTTGTAATTTACATTGAAGAAAGCTGTTTTTTTCAGCCTAATTAGAACTGTTTCAAATTTTCCTGCTAAATATATGATATAAAGTCCTTTCAACTTTTTTATTCTAGAGTTTCTTTCCATGTCAACTTTGTTCCAATCAAAATATGCTTTGAATTAAATGATTTTGATTG